CCGCCAGGGATCCCCTGCATCTAAGGCTTCCATGCTCATCCGGAGCGACGATGGGAGGTGGCTGTTGTGGTGGTGGTTATTATGGTTGTGGTTCCCAACGGCTAACCGATGGTATCCTGGCCCCGGCCCGAGCTCCTGCGGTAGGCTTCCCAAGAGCCCCAGTGCCTCCGACAGCGCGGGATCAGGGGCGCTGCGAGGCATACATACATATATACATATATGGGGACCGCCGGATGCGAGAGGGAGGGGGGTAAGACGAACCACTGGCGAATGGAGCAGCTGCCAAAGACGGGTAGGGCGGGGGGAAGGGGGGAGTGTACAGAGCTCTTAAACCTGCTACACTCTTCGCAGGCGCGAGCCGTGGCAGGGCTACTCGAAGGTCCGGGGGAGAGACAAACCACGTGAACGAAAACGTGGAGCTCAATGATACGCCACAGAAACACGGGGCCACGACGGCCATGAGGGAGGCAGTCACATGCAACAAGCACAGGCCCCCGTGTCTCTTAAGACCCGTGTTGGGTTGGGGAGGGTCCGCTCCCTCCCATACCCCCCTATCCCCCCCCTACCCCCCCCCCTACCCTACCCTCCACATCGAACATCCCCCTGGTCCACCACCACCACCTGGGGCACATGCAGCTCCAAGAGCGGCAGCCTCCCTCTCCTCTCCTCCCTCCCCGGGGCACACCCCATTCCTATTTCCACACGCAGACAACCGCCTCACAGCCTTACCCCAATCGCTGGTGCTGGTGCTGGTGTTGTTCATCCTCTTGCTGATTGCCGCTGTTGTTGTTGTTGTGGTGGTGGTGGTGATGTAGGTAGTTGTTGTTGTGATGGTGGTGATGATGATGCGATGATGAGACAGCGGAGTTCACCGCGAACATGCAGCTCTGAATGCCCCAGCAAAGGGATGGGGTAGCGGGGGATGGGGTAGCGGGTGGAGGTTAGGGGAGGGGGGGAGGGTTGCGTGGGGGTACGGGCGCGCCACACGTGCCGTGTCCGTGTACGGACATGTGGGATGTCCGTTGGGTAGTTAAGCTAGGTAGTTAATCAGGTAGACAGGTGGGTAGGTAAGCAGTTATGTCATGTAATTCAAAAATACTCGAAAAAGGGTCATTACAAGGAAGAGGCTCTGCTGGCGCCCCGTGTCCTTGAAATGGAACCGTACGGCAGACCACGTGTCTCCATTCAAAGGGCCCCGAAACCAGCAACATGTCGGGTCCTCGATAAAACACCCGAGGGGGTATTCGCTGGGTCACATACACCTCATGGGCACACACGAGCGCACATACATACATACATACATACATACATATACTCATGGGTGAGCTGTGTCCCACCACTGCCGCACCCCCACCTGCACTGCCTCCGCCATTGCCCGCTGATCCACTCCAACACTACCACCACCACCACCACCACCAGCACCGGGACCGCAAACCCCGCGACGGGCGCCGGAACTCATGGACTGAGGGCCCGGCGGCAGCACCGGCTCAGACTCCGCCACCGCCGCCACGGACAGACCCGACCCGTGGGGCGAACTCCTCCCCCACGCGGCCAACACGGTTGCGGACGTGGCCGGGGACAGGGTGTAGCCGCTGTCCAGGGCGGCTACCGCCGCCGCCGCCGCGGCGGC